ATGGTAGTTTTAGACAAGTGGTTGGTAAAGACAGGTGGTTGTTCAGGCAGGTTTGACTGTAGTTATGGATGGCAAGTAGTCAATCATAGATGGTTTGTATGAAGAGGTGGTTGGTAGAGACAAATGGTAGTTATAGGCATGTGGCTGGTATAGACAGATGGTTAGTCTAAACAGGTGGTTAGAATAGAAAGTGGTAGTTATGGACAGGTGGTTGGTATAGACAGGTGGTAGTTATAGAAAGGTGGTTGGTATAAACAGATGGTTGGTATAGACAAGTGGTAGCTATAGACAGGTGGTTGGTATAAACAGGTGGTTGGTATAGACAGGTGGTAGCTATAGACAGGTAGTTGGTATAGACAGGTGGTAGTTATAGACAGGAAACAATATAAACAGGTGATTGTTATAGACAGGTAGTTGGTATGAAAAGGGGGCTGTTAAGGCAGGTTAGAAAATGTTGTGTGTACTCTGTTTAATTAAAACACACACTGTATGATGATGCATTTTAAGCTCTGTCTATTTCCCTTGAGTAGGTGAACTTTATGCCAATCTCACAGATACAGTAAAGATTTGTTACCTGATGAAAGCCAAACCCAACATTATCCTGAAATGAAATGTCTCCCAATCCCAATGGTGATATTATTTTACTTTATGTATGTATTAGTACTATTTTGAAATTTCAGAGTCTGAGTCATCACAGTAGATGAATGGCATTTATTTCTTGTTTAGATGTTAATATTTAAAAGACAATGTGAAGATAAAAAGGCTTACTTTTATTGGAATTAAAGGTCAGCAGATTCTGCAGGGATTATAAGGATGCGGGGCAGGGATTACAGTGATGCGGGGCAGGGATTATAGGGATTTTGGGCAGGGATTACAGGGATGCGGGGCAGGGATTATAGGGATGTGGGGCTGGGATTATAGGGATGCGGGGCAGGGATTACAGGGATGTTGGGCAGGGATTACAGGGATGTGGGGCAGGGATTACAGGGATGTGGGGCAGGGATTACAGGGATGTGGGGCAGGGATTACAGGGATGCGGGGCAGGGATTACAGAGATACGGGGCGGGGATTACAGGGATGCGGGGCAGGGATTACAGGGATGTGGGGCAGGGATTACAGGGATGCGGGGCAGGGATCACAGGAATTAGGGACTGGGATCTCAGAGATGAGGGACAGGGAGCACAGGGATTAGGGGCTGAGATCACAGGAATTAGGGGCTGGGATCACAGGAATTAGGGGCTAGTGTAAAAGGGATGAGGAGCTGGGATCACTGTGATAAGGGGCTGGGATTACAGAGATGAGGGGCTGGGATCACAGGAATAAGGGGCTGGGATCAAAGGAATTAGGGGTTGGGATCACAGGGATGAGTGGTTGGGATTACAGGGATAAATGGTATGATCACAGGTTAGAAGGGCTAGAATAAAAGGGATGAGGTGCTGGGATCACAGGGATGAGTGACTGGAATCACAGGGATTAGGGGCTGTGATTACAGGGATGAGGGGCTGGGATCGCCGGGATGAGGGGCTGGATCACAGGGATGAAGGGCTAGACTTACCCCCATAGTTTGCATACAGTTTTGAGTTAAATTTTTGAGGTAAATACATTCGTAGAAATATCTGACATTGGGAGATATCTCTGCCACAGTTGCTACCTTATAACAAGGTTGTGAATTCCCAATAGTTCTGACTTCATCCATATTTAGATACTTGCTGTAATATCCAAAGTTTCCTATCACTACTGGTTCTGGCCTATTAGCACTATCGGCTGGGCTTTCTTCACAGAAGTTTGAGAGGGTGAGAGACTGTTTAACCACAGCTCAGATCCTCGGGGGAGCAGACCTCGTTGTTTATTTATAGCTTGACTGGCGTTGCTGAGTTTCCACTGTTCGCATACACTCTATCTAGTGACGATCCTTGCCGTTACCTTATCTGGTTATTAGTAACAAAATAGCTGGCAACGCTTTTACACCAACTGTAAGGCCCTATTTTACTAGGCAGTCCCAGGGGACCAGCACGGATCCATGTAGACCTGTTATGTCAACGGAGAAAGAGTCTTGTCAGTGAATCCTTCGGGACTCATTAGAGAGACAGAACAAACCCCTTCAGCTAGATCTGGTCCTCCAAGGATAGCTCTTTGTAGAACTTGGATGTCATGTCTTTAGATTGAGTCAACATGTAGTAGATGTTCCACACTGGTTACGTGTGAACTGTTGTTAAGGATCTCATACCACTTAACAAAACTGTAAATAAGTTTTCAGGATTGTGTTATCCAGCGTGACTATATAACTTTGATAAATTATTTTTCGTAATGAAAAAAAATATACCTTGAGGGACTTTTGAAGAAAAATAACAGAGATAAAATATCTAAATATAATCAACAAGAGTGTAAAAAATATCAAAGGGGCTAGACTGGGATTCAAATCCAAGACTTTAGATTGTTATAATATCGCTGCTACAGATGGAACTACCTGGTCAACAGTTATATCAAAACGGTAGTTAAGGGGAGGTTACTGTGTATAGGAAAAACGGCAATGCAGTAGGACAGGGATCCTTAGGGTAAAGGTTAGGTAAAGGTTAGGTAATGGTTAGAAATTATATACAATGTTGGACAAAGATGGTGTTTTGGAGCAAACTTCCATTATGCCAACTTTTCTTTTAAAACCATTCTATTGTCCAATGGTAGACCCTTTATACAGCAGATTGATGTAAACAGTCGGGATCGAAATTCACTACAATGTCCACATAATTGTCAACTTTTTGAAATTTCCATGGGGAGAATACGCATGCTCAGAATTAAAAGCATGAATGCTATGTGTGTATGTACACCTAAGGGAAAAATAACTCTTTTAAATGCCATCATTTGAGCTGTTCTTAAAGATGAAATCATCAGATCTTCAAAATAGGAACAGTCTAGCAAATTCACTGGTTCAAAATGCACAATTTTAGGGTCCAAAATCGAGAGTGTCCCTCCTAAATAGGGGGAGAGTTGGCAAGTATGTATTCAATGGGTTCCTTTTGTTACTACAAGTACCAGATTACGGTCACACTAATTTAATGAGCTGATCAACAGACATTTACCACATGTGGAGTAAGGAGATGTAAAAGCTAACATTTCTGTCACAAGAAACACAAACAAACCAATGGTTATCAGGGGACATAATTCTGTGACCTTCATGTAAAAGCTTGCCTAATTACTTTAATTACACAGCCAATTAAAACACCCTTGGTATTCCTATTCGCTCCTATTCGCTTATTATAATTGATCCAGATTTTTCCCTTCATTTGTTTATATGTCATGCTGCGAAGTTTCTGGCACATTCTGAGAGCTGGATTTACCAGTATGGTAAATTAGAATTTGTTTCTGGAGAAGAAAGCTGTATATCTCACAGCCCTGGCTGTGAGAAGATGGCAGTGTATCCTGCTGGCAGTGCAGTGATTAGGATTTCTCGGAAACTGGTTTGAATCTCTGTATGTGATTCAAGAATAAATGAAAATTAATTGATCTCCATATGGATTCACAGATTCTCTATGTTAATTTAAAAAATTCAACTTAATATGAAGATATATCTATGTCATGATGGAAACCAGATAACAATATTCTAGTTAAGAGATAATTTAAGTCTGTGTTGATCAGTTTTGATTGAATGGTGCTTGGTTTTGTAGAATGATATAAGGATTGTTGAGATATTATGTAGGATGATGTAGGATAAAGCATTTACTTTAATTCCTCAACGATATTGTATGATTAATATACAGTTAGAATGAAAAGCCACAAACACCAGATTTTTAGAAATATTTTATTTCAGGATTTCATTTCAGAACCCGTTTCAGTCACGTAATAAAAGAATTGGCTGAAAATGAAGCATTTTTCATCAAACATTTCTTATTCCAATAACAATAATTTCCCGAGGTCTCAATGTGAATTGCTTTAAGCTATTTGATATTCTATCTCCACAGTTACCAAGTAATTGATTAGGTTGGAGGCCACACAAAAACCTGATATCTTACTTCTGATGCAATATCTTACAAAATGAAATGATGATAAAGGCTTGTTGAAGAACTGTTAATTTAAAGGTGAAATATTGTCATGTGACAATATCTATATAATGGATACACAACTCAGAATGTTTCAACTGTCCAGCTGTTTTGATTTGTGTATGTAACTTGAAAAATCAATAAGTTAACCATTACATAACTATATGGTTTATGTTATAGGTATTATGAGATGTTTTCAATTACTGATTAACTGTTGGATGGTACAATAGCGTATTTCCATTATCCAATTACCACTCTTTGTTTGAATGTGGGATACAACATATAAGTAATGGCTTATAACAAAGAATTATCTCAAAGGAAATCTTTTAACACATGACAACTCTTTGTATGAAAAATATTCACTGTAACATGGGTAAAGGGAAATAACTCAGGAACACATTACCATGAATGTTGCTGGTTAAGTTTATTAGAGTTGTCTTTCTTGTGTTTCATTTTAAAAGCTTGAACTGAAGATGGATTGATTCCAGGGAAGCAACTCTTTGTTACCCAGCATCGGGAAGCTTTTATTTCACATCTACCAGTCAAGATATGCTGAATATTTAACTTTTGCTACAAATTCTTCATTAAATAATGATACTAAAACCATAATTTTATTGGATTATTTATCTTTATCTTGGAGATAATATGCTTCACCCATTCACCCCTAAAGTCACATTCGAACCTTACCATGGCAAAGAAGTGGCAAGTCCAGTTTAAAACTGTAGGGGTGCATGAGTTAGATAATTTACTTAATACAGGTATCCATGCGTTAAGAAATGTAGTAGTGGTTGGTGTGGGTGGTTGCTATGAATGGTTTGTATGTATGTGTTATACAGGTATCCATGCATTAATGTAATAGTAGTTGGTGTGGGTGGTTGGTGTGGGTGGTAGTAGAAATGGTTGCTATGAATGGTTGCTATGTATGTGATAGATGATCAGTTCAATGAGTGTATGTGGCTAAGTTACCTCTGTGGTACATCTCAACCCATGGTCTGAGGATGTCCCGTATCCAGGCATGCTGACAGAAGTCTGTAGCAGAAATCTGGTGACAGTATGGGATGACCAGCTTCGTGTCCAGATCTTTGTCCAGCATTCCGGCCAATTCTCGCATAGAGTACTTCATGTTTACTGCAATTATAAAGAAAGTGCTTTACTATAACATTAATCTATCTGATCATACACTATAGTAACTCAACAATAACACAAATCTCTCAGATCTGACATTAGTAGCTTACCTATGTCTGAAATTTCTCAGAACTGACAATAGAACTTTACTATATCAGAAATTTCTTAGGCCCTACACTGAACTGTTACAGAAATTTCTCAGGCCCTACACTGAACTGTTACAGAAATTTCTCAGGTCGGACACCTTTACTTGTAGCGTAAGTTCTACAGAAATAACTCCAGTCTGACACTGGTGACTGAACTTCTACAGAAATAACTCCAGTCTGACACTGGTGACTGAACTTCTACAGAAATAACTCCAGTCTGACACTGGTGACTGAACTTCTACAGAAATAACTCCAGTCTGACACTGGTGACTGAACTTCTACAGAAATAACTCCAGTCTGACACTGGTGACTGAACTTCTACAGAAATAACTCCAGTCTGACACTGGTGACTGAACTTCTACAGAAATAACTCCAGTCTGACACTGGTGACTGAACTTCTACAGAAATTTCAGATCTAACACAAAGTAATTCAAATATAACAGAAATCTCTATCCTACACTGACAACCTGTCTAAAGTGACCATTCCTTAGACATGGCTACCTGTATACTACGGAATTAGTGTAATCACTGAGTAATCAGTCCAGGAACAGGTTGTCGACTAGCTTTTACAAGACCTGCCATTTATAAGCCAGACTCCTACAATGGGAGGTTGTAACCCTACATAAAGGGACCTCTCAGAGCTCTATGGGAATATTATAAGGCTGCTTCTGACATAGCAATTCAAATTGACAGATTACAGCCAAGAAATATGCATATGAATTGATAATCCTGCCTCACTCTGACAGAGGTCCTTCCTCCACTGGTAATATGGACCTTTGATAAATATAGCCTCATTTTGATTGTTTTTGCTGTAATTTTATTACTTTTTTTTTCATTTTAAATATCAGTCATCAGATATTTGTGACTAGTTAGTCACCACTGTCAGATGTAATGCCTGGGTCTGGTGTCGGCTTTCTCTCGTAATAGAACACCTCAGAATCTCATTTGTAACAGCACTTTGTTTTTTCTCAGAATTGAACATCGATTGTCCATTGAGATTTGTTGTGTCAAGCCGTTCCCCATCCATTGTTAGTCGCTGTCACGTGATTGGGATTCTCTCAGGGGAAATTGGTAGAGCACTGCTTCCTGTTACATTAAAGGGGAGGTAATTCAGGCATACTTTAATGTCACCTTGAGGATTGGGGAATTGTATTACTGGAAGATACATTCCTGTACTTAAGAAGGGAAGAGACAGTTTGAGTGTTTAATCTTAAAGTCAAAGTGTATACTTCACCCAGACCAGAATACTATAGAATCATTTATTTTTGTAGGGTTAAAATTTCATGGTTTTCATATAGTATCCTGTTTCGAGGACATTATATTTCCCTGATTTCTGATTTTCCCCTATCTATATCGTACCAAATTTATGTCTTCGTGGGTATTTAATTTCGTAGATTTTTGTTATCCATGAAATACACGAAAATTTAATGTCCCACGAAAATTTTGGTAGACAGTACTCACTGTTGAATCTTTTGGCTGGAAAATTCCGGAATCTAATTTATTTTCTTATTTTCAAATCTGACAATGCTTATTGACTCAATCTATATATTTTTTAAATTATAAAACCAACAATGCCCTGTAGATCATATTTTAAGATAAAACCAACACTGTCCTGTCAACTGTATTTGATAATCAACAACGCTCTGTAGATTAGGTTTAAAAATCTTAAATTTAATGTGAACAGAAATCGATGAGTTAGCTTGGAGGATGGGAAGTAATTACTGATCACAGCTGTGATCATCAGACCGCGGGCTGTAACAATCGGTGAGGTGATAAATTAGGGATGTAATTTTAATTCATTGCTAATTAGATAAACTGTTCTATCACCCATGTCCTATGTTGCACTAAACGACCTCAGAGATACAAGTCATTTAGACTCCGGATCATGGACTCTGGTACAGTCTGCTGGATGTCATCATTTTGTATGACTGCTCTTGTCAGTCCAGCAGAAAAAAATATTAGAGTCAGTTAGTGCTAGTTACATCAGATGAAAGGATTTTTGATGTGTTGCTCAGATTATTTTTGTTTTCAAGCTTTTTGAAGTTTAGATCTGACTGCTTCATTAGACTGATGAAGCTTAACAAATAGATTTATCATGATTGGAAGGTACATCATGTGCAACTCATGTGACTTTATCCCCAAAGGTCAAGGTCGCAAGAAAGGGGTCAAAGGTCAAATCACATTAATGTTGGCCTGGGCCCTTATGTCAATCGGTTCAATATTTAGGTCACCAGAGATACGTGCCAGGTATATATGCTTTGTTGGAATTCTTAAAACACTAGATGGTGTGTCAAGTAATATTTTTTAAACACTTAAAGTTTTGTTCTACTTCAGACACTTGGTGGTGTGTTGTGATCTACTTTCATGACCATTAACCAAAGGTAATATCTTGAAGAGAGGTCAAAGGTCATATGAATATTTCCAATTGGTGTCAAATCTTTTTTATGTTAGTTTCTTTTTTTTAAGAAACGTTGAATACTTGTCAAAGCCACAGTTTGTTCTCTAATGAAATTTGATGAATAAAAATCATTATAGTTTAATTTGTGTAGAATTTTGTGTGGTGATGCCTGTTGGCCTTCATAAAGGACAAAGAGGATCAAGTGGACACTATCTACTTATTTGCATTGTTTTGATTTTTTATTCAAACCCTATATATCGAAAACCTGCAAGGAAGTAATTCTGGTGTACCTATCAGCCTAGAAAATGTTTGTAAATTAAACAAACATACTCACTTAATACTTGGCTGGTAAATGACACAACATTTTGGTGCTTTGTGGCGATGTCACTAATCAGCTTGTTTAAATTGTCTAGGATTTTGGCTGTTTAATGTGTTCAGACTTGTAACCACTTTTTATTGGTTTGTTTCTCCAAGCTTCATGCTGAGAAGTAAGAGATACTTGTCTGGGTCATACTCAGCAATGCTCTGAATCAAAATAATTGGATGGTGGATAGTATCAAAACATTGTAGTGAGTCAGATCTAATGATCATTTGGAGAACTTGATTGAATGTAATGAATGAGATACAGACATCATAGTGTTATTTTGTTACACATACTCATGACGATAAATTCATTATCAAATCAAAACGACATTAAATATTATGAGTACAAATGCATCTTTTTATCAAAATGTCTGTTTGTTGGATGAGACAAAGATAGCTGATGGCTATAACTTTTAAACATCCAGCCCGCATGTTGAGAATCAATGATGGAGGAAGTACACTGAAGAAGGAAGTACTTAAAAAGTCTGATTCACATCAAATGACGGACACATACAGCTTCATCAACAATTAAATCTAAACTAATGTAATGCTGCTTTATACATTGATAGAAAACTGCACATTTCTGGCACATTTGATCATGAAAAGTTGTTTTATGTTTTCTATTCAGATAGTCATGTTCTAATAACAAAACTGTGTCAAGCATTTTTATGATAACCTGGAGCTTGTTGATGTTTGCTTCAGTTGGTACCTACCATTAGGTACATGTAATATGGAAACTTCCAGATTGCTGGTTCATTATTGAACATTTAAATTAAATTCTCTGTTTGTCAGATTTCTTATTTCATAGTAGACGTTTTGTCTCTAGGTACAATTTCAAAGTAATTTGTACATTCATTTGACCGATACCTCCTTACAATAGTTTGGTTAGAGGAAACGTTCCTTGGTTATCCATTGTGATAACATACCTCGGTGTGTAATGGTGGATTTTAATGGACTCTGCGGTGCTGCATTGAATATCACAATGTAATATGATTGATGGGTTATTTCCTATTAACAAGGGTGTGATTAGAGGCTCTGTTGTATCATATTATTATGGTAAGTGACTTTTAAGAATCTCCTACTGGAATAAGCTTTTATTGGTTTTTGTGCCTCAGCAATTCAATTTCTTGGAAATTGATGTTAGATTTCCATGACAAACGCAAGTTTCGGACACTGCTATTAAAGTAACTCTGTTGTTTATCTTCGATGGTCTTTAAACATGCAGCTGAAATGAAGTTTCGGTATAAAATAATGCATCTAACTTTCTACAGAGTCAGTCATGACCTATAAGCTTCTGAAGGTTCCTGATGATGAGGTAATAATGAAAAATACACACCAAGATTTATGTAAGGCATTAACTCATTCATCCCTGAAGACACATTTGAACTCTTCCAATTCAAAGGTTGGAATAGTTCATTATGAAATTTCGGGGGTGAATGAATTAAATAGACAGCATTCAATGTTCCCTGAAAGGAACAAGGTAATTAACTTATAAAAGTGGTATTATGTTTCAAAACTGTATAAATAGAGGGACAGGAGGCAGTGGGGTGAGGTGCAGGGCCTACAAGGGGTAAATTTGCCATATTTCTTTAATTTTGTAATCAACTTTTCCTCTAGAACTGTTCTGGTATATGGACTAGTCTCCCAGGGTGTGTACTCTGGCAAACAAGCTATAAACCAGACACAATTAATTGTCCTTCCACCAAGAATTAACACTGTATTTTTTGTTGAAAGTTAATGGACCTGTAATAGATTTGATCTTGTTTTTCCTACACAATGCAACATTGGCATCTGTTGTAACGATTTTACTTAAGCTGTCTTTGTAACAGCATAGCTATAGAGTTACAGGCCTAATTCGGGCAGCAGTTACTACATGGTTTACAATTATCTGATATAGATTTTCTGCTCCAAGATTTTTTAACTAAGGATGACACCAAAGTTATGGATGGGATTCTTGCTTGATACGAGTCATCAAACTGCTCTAGTGTTGCAGACATAAAAATTGTTAATGATGATGAGGATGTGTATGGGTTTAAACTTTACAGTTATAAACGAACTCTTTAAACAGTTAGACCTTAGATTTACACCAGGAAACAAAAGTAGTGGTTGTTTAGTTACCAAGGTCATTGTTGTGTATTGCAAAATAAAGGTTGTATGTTTACTAAGTTATTGATTGTGGTTACATGGTTACCAAAGTAATGGCTGCATTGTTACTAAGGTAATGACTGTGTGGTTACTAAGGTAATGACTGTGTGGTTACCA